TGTGAAGACCGAGTTCCTAGGCAAGGCATGAGTATACTCCGACTCACCAAGGAAACAGGAGAAAAGATTTCTAATGTAACACCATATCTGTAGTAAATTTACCACATTTTGGTCTGAGTGTGTGTTGCTGCAAGCTGAAGGTTCATATCAGAGTGTGATGTTGAAAAAAGTACATCAAGTTATAATGCCCCCGCGTATAGACCAATGTAAAAAGGATCAACAATATTATTTTACACAAATACTTCGTATATAAGTATAATTTTTACCTGCATTCAGCAGAACTAAGCTGACGCCACTAATATTTACTATGCGACGTGCTTTGACTGTTTAGTGTTATTATTAGAGCATTCTCATCTTTAGCTGCAAAACTTCATGTGGGAATGCTCTCGCACCAAATATAAATAGCCGAAATTGATAAATTGTCGAAGAGTAGAGCGATTGGAAACCATGGGTCTCTTGATGCTCCTTTGATTGACTGTAAGTTCAGCCTCAGTTTCTATTTCAGATGCAAATCAGTCCAATTCTTATAAGAAACCTAGCAGGATCACAATTGGCTTCGTAAAAACCAGAGGTGTCTGTACTACAATATATCTTCGCTAATGAGCAATACGAGAATGCGAATTAAAGTATTGGCCAGCTAAGGTGAGACTATTGCTTGCAATGATAGTAGTATCAAAAATTTAGGCAAAGCTAGACCAAAGTGGATAAAAAAATAAGTTATTGCTACCACAGAAAGGCCAAGATTATGTGACCTTAGGTCGCAATTCCCTTTACCTGCATAGTGTTGGTTTGATCTCGTTTTCGCAACTTGGTCAGGGCGATAAAGGCCTTATGGACTATATTTCGTCGTGCTAATTTTCAACATCGGACGGTTAACTTAGTACATTATCGGACAATTAGCCGACACAGAATAAAGGCGATCCTCTTGACCAATTTTCTGTTTAAATGTATTTGAATCTCTCCTCCCTTCTTTGTCCCATCTTGTATCTAGCGCTGCATCCTTACCTCTCAATCCCACTTCTTATGAAAGTGGTCTGACCTCGTTTTCGCAACTTGGTCGTGTTGTCATGGGGACTACTACAGTAGAGGACTTCGAATAAGGTGCGTCCAATTAAGTTCTTCTGACAACACGACCAAGTTGCGAAAAAAAATGAGACAACTTCAAGACATTAAAAGGGAACTACGATCAAAATAGAGGCCGCAACATCTTGTTCTCCATATCTACGTTGAAACACACTTCTCAAGGCTCATTTACCTAGTCACTCGCTATCTGTGTCTTTGTTTGTTTCATTGTGGCCTAAGAGTGTCGAATCAAGTAATTTTTGTCAAGCGTAACCACCTTCGCCACTAATTTCAGATGTAGTTCGCAACATAATCATTTGCCCCTCGACCCTGCTTGCCAGCAAACAATGATACAAACTGGTGTGACTAAGCAAATGGGCCATATGAATTAGAGTTGAGACGAAAGGGAAAGAACAGATCATTTATCAAAGGTATTGCCTTCCCTAGGCGCCTTAAAAAGTTGTTCCACTATGCGAAGTATAGCGCCTCTCAATGACGACTCTGACGAGACGTCTGGAAATGTATTAAGTTTGCAGTCCGATACTGGAAATCATCATGAATAGTCTGGCAGAAAACGGAGAACTAGGTACATTCTGTCTCTCAAGCTAATTGCGAAAACGAAGTCAAATCAACGCAATAAGTTACTGACATTTGCATTCAATATAATTTGATGTCATTAATGACCCAAGACGTCTTTGGCTATTTTGATAAGCAAGAAATGCACTTAGGTTCATTCATACAAGATATATTTTTAATGATCAGCAGATAAAACAGGTTGCTGCCTCTAAATAAATCATGGAATTGTCTTCCGAAGCCACCATGACAATGAATTACAGCAAAAATATTTAACACAAGAGAATAAGTACAAATGGACCAAATCTACCTTGTAATGAAGCATATGAAAGAAACGGCTATTAAAAAAATTAAGCAATAACGAGTAAATAAGTGCGAATAAGCTTGCGACAGAACATTCATCTACGGGAGTAATTTTAAAAGCAAATGGCATTTAACAACAGAAGGCAATGATTCCTTATTTAAAAATAACAGATTTCTGTTGATTCATCTCACCACGGAAACCAACATGAAAACATGCAAATATGTTGATATTCCGAAAATGATGCCTAGCCGCAGAGCCATCTAACTACCTGAATGCAGAGATCTACGATCCTCTCCAACCATTGAGTATGGAAAGTATCCGCCATGGCCAGACGTTCGTAGATCAGCTCTGTGTCGCCAGTCGATCCCGAAACCGAGGTGGTCACAGCCACTGGAGACTCTCGAGCAGTCTGCACCAAGCCAACAAGACATGCAATACCAAAGCATCGTCGGTCGATTGGATGTGCTGAGGCGAAATCAGCCCGAGCCAACCAGCGCTCAAAACAGGGCGTCAAAAGCTGAAGAGTAGAGGGCTGCAGCTGCCCGATTGTGATAGTCGGAGCCAAGGCGGCGTCGAACTGAACCAAATCACTGGCAAGCAATTGACAAGCTGTGGGCAGATGGCTGGTTGGCAGGGCGGGAGTATGAAGAGCGTACGCCAGACGAAGAACGCGGATAAAAGTGGGCCTGAGCAAGGAAACGGGATGTGAGAGAAGGTAATTAAAGAGAAGATATATGTCAGCACCACAATTCAGCCTCAGCAAATCAGGCTACCTAAAGATCAAGCCTATCCTGTTAAAAAATGTTAACGAATAAGAATGGAGTGAAATATGAGTGGTGTTTGGACTAATTGAAATTTGACTTTCGTACAGATTGGTTTTACTTTATGCAAGATTCTCTTTAAGCAAAATCAGCTTCGAAGAGTTATATAAAACAAAACGTCTTATTTTTAACCATCTTAAAGGTTCCCTAGTGCCTGAATGGCCGGCAAGATTTGTTCACTAGTTTACAACATACCCAACCTAGTAGATACGAAGAGAAACTTAGTTTCGATGAATCTCCTGAGATAACATTGTTAGGGGGACCTTCATTT